CACCTTAACAAGTGTCAACATTCTGGCTACTGTGCTAGAATCCCAAGGAAAGTACGATGAATCGGAGGCGATGGATCGGCGTGCACTGGAGGGGTGTGAGAGGATTCTCGGGCCAGACCACCCAGACACCTTAACGCGTGTCAACAATCTGGCTCTTGTGCTACGATACCAAGGAAAGTACGGTGAATCTGAGGCCATGAATCGGCGTACACTGGAGGGGTGTGAGAAGATTCTTGGGCCATACCACCCAGACACGTTAATAAGTGTCAGCAATCTGGCTATTGTGCTGCAATCCCAAGGAAAGTACGAGGAATCAGTGACAATGCATCGGCACGCATTAGATCAGCGCAAGAAGGTTCTTGGACCAGACCATCCCAAAACCCAATTAAGTGCCAATAACCTGGCTACAGTGCTACGGCTCCAAGGTGATTCTGACGATTCCGAGACGGTTGAGCGGCGTGTGGGGAAGACACTGCCAGGAAACCGAGTGGATCAGCAGCCACAACTTGTTCGCCGTTTCCTTTTTCCACTTTATTTTGTCTTTTTCCTCCTTTCTTTTATCTATATGTTATTTCGTGTTTAATAGGAAACGATGTGGTACGGTATGTCCCCTCACCCAATAAGGTCCTTATAGTAACCCCTCTACCACTCAGAATCATTACAAATCACTCGTTTGTTATTCTTCACCCAGCGATCCTGAATGCGAAAATACAATCCGAGTTATCCACCCACCTCTCGTGCCCTACCTGCTGGTAACTGTCCCGGGGGGTCCCTTGTACGCCCTACGTAGCCCAACATTCTACCAAATTTAAAGAAAACTCTCTTACACCTGTCGCTCCCTGGTGCCATCCCCTCCACATGGCCAGACAGACTATGAATCACAGCCCGGACACGTTTCTATGACACCAATGGCGGTATCATACTATGCGGTCAGAGACAATGAGTTCTTGTCCAAAACATCGGTGTCAACTCCCTTGTCCATCACAACCAGACAACGCGGAGCTAACCCGCGCTTCAGCAAGCGAGTTTGTAAGTTGGTCACTATTCACATTATTATTTCCCCCTGTTTTGCGAGATGGAAGATGCACGATCTATTCATTTACCGGGAATTATACTGTGGCAGATCATTATCTTGTTGTGAAAAGATACGGAAGATACGGAAGATACGGAGGGGGAAGAAAGGATAGAAGTGCGGAATTGGAAGGTTTGTTTGCAGAATGGAAGGTGTTTAGGGAAGACAAGGGAAGTAGAGTGGAAAACACAATGGAGAATGGAAAGGAAGGGAAGAGAACGAGAAAAAAAGAGGTGGGGGTTTCTCCGATTTCTTCTCATATATATTATAAGATTGTTTGCCCATAGGAGAAATGAGCGGAAGAGGGAATAGGGGCAGGTTGGACATTGGAATCTCACATAATACCATTCCCGGACGAAAGAGTCCTACGAGTACTGGTAACGTAGGCCATGGCGGGTCGAAACAGACGGTGGTTACCCGAAACAGCCTAAGGCTCTGTTTGGCGGGAACGGAACCATTTGAGACTGTTCAATTTTCTCATACAAAACGACCGTTATGAAAGAGAAGGGTAAGAAAATTTGTATGGGGAACGGAACGGAACGGACGCGAACGGTCGTATCCAAACAGACCCTAAGTAAAAAGTACTCTTAGTAAGCAACAGCTCGTGTACCTATATCTTCCACTTGTTCTGTGTCACCGTGTATTTCTGCCCACGGTTAGGTGGTGATGCAAAAAATCGGCCCATGTATGGTATAGTAAGGCTGAGAATTTGGGAGTGATGGGATGGAGGGCTCCTCCCTGGTTGGGCTCTAGGAGGGAGCAAGAAGTAGCCGGGGCATCTTTGCATGTCAGCCGAGTTTTGCATGATACACGAGTACTCGTGCTGTGCAGGTGATGGGAGAGCTAGTATGCGTATCGTACCTCCTCTCGGTTCGGACCTGAGAGCTTCAGACATGTAGAAACTTGCGTGCAATTTGACAGGCAACTTAAATTTAGCATGAGCTGTGTTGGTACACTCGACTCGCTTGCCACTCACCCATATCCTACTCGTAATCATGCCAGCCTCGTGTGACCTGCGATGCTATTTACTTATCAGATTTCATTTGGTAATTCCTACAGATATGCCGCCACCACCCTTGCGCGTGCTGACCCAAGCCGGCTAGCTTTCATAGCCCTCCCGAAATTACGAGTCTCAAATAACTGCCACAAAACGGGTGTATTGTGCCTCCTCCTGCAGTCTTGGGAATCTCGCCAGCGCGGATTCTACTGTAGATCTCCGATTAGCTTTTATCCAGAAAAGAAGCCCGTAGGAGGCGAAGCAGCTCTATTCATGTAGGTATTATTCGGTGACCTCAAATTTGTATCCCCAAAAGGTTCAGCTCACGCTTAGCGGTATTCCAAAATGCACATCCGCCTGGAGGATGCAGTTGCGAGTTGCCTACCTATCGTCCCCAGCATCCTGCAGTGTAACAAGACATAGACTAAAGATTCTGATAACAACCTACCGGTAGACCAAGAACAGAGTCAAACCAACCGCCAGGACAATACCCAATCTACCAGGGTACTATCCATCAGGTGGCTATCTTCCGGACCCATACAGCTAGGACTTCTGAGATCCCACAAGTAAATTTCCCCCTTCGTTACCATACTGCCTCGAGACCCTGTCGCTTTAATACCCGTTGTGCACCCATATTCTAAATCTTCGAACGTCACCGAATTCCCATAGCCCGAGCTTGGATTACATCCCACAACTCCCTCAAGACAACAGAATTATTTATCTCTATATCCAAGGTTGGGTCCTCCACTACCTGTTCTACCATATCCTCCCCTTATTGACTTGTTTCAGGTCTCGCCAAACAATTTTGAGCCATACATAGCCCTATCTGGAACCGATAGACTACTATTCCCGCTTCGGATACCTTAGCGATACTTTATCACTCTCACCCGACCTTCCAAAACAGTCCTACAGTGA